AGCTTCAGTGGGTTGCCAGTTGTGAGTTGCAGTGTGATATGGCTGCTGGTGCCTAGTTTTTCAGCTATAGTCAGAGACAACTTTGGACATAATCTTTTGTACATGGGGGTTAAAATGTCCAGCCTGGATCTAATATCACCTCCAATTGCATCAATTTAGATTGAAATTCCTGCACAGTGCCAACCAGAGATAGGGCTACTGCACTGGATTTATTAAGCTGGTGTTTATGGTAGAAGGACCCCACTCATCTGAGTGGCAGCTGTGGGGAAATTTGGTATGACTAGAGCTGCTGCCAAGACCATATAAGCTCTAACTTCTTGCTCAGAGAAGTACCTATAGTATGGTGAGACCACAGCGGACATCAGAGGCTGTGACATGAGGCATGTCAGATATCTCCAGCCCAGGGAAGAAGATGGAGGGAAGACGGGGAATCAGTCAGAAGTTACCAGAAGTGCAGGAGAAGCACAACACAAACCCTGTGAAGCATAAAGGGAATCCAAGAAGAGAAGTGGAAACAAGCAAACAAAGTGTATAGCTAGGTTGAAAGACAACACAAAAAAATCCAACTACAGTATCTACCTGTACCAACTGTGCTAGATAGGTCAAATGATATCCACTGGATCGATTTTTTACTGTACAAATGTATACAAAACTGTGGAGTGTACAAGGTAAACTAATAAATACTGTTTATGGAATCTTAATATGTGCAATGCAGTATGTACAGAATGTGCAACCCATGCTACAGTATGACTCACATGAAATAGGGTGTTATCTGTAGGACATTTAATTTTTTTACAATCATTTCAGATTCTACCAATTTATTTTATTTTCAATACTGCGCATTTCCGCTAAGCTAAATTGTTTGTCATTTGTTTCTACAGGTGGAGATGTCATTTTGAGAGTTAGTCCACAACCCTTAAGCAAAGGAAGCACTGGGAATCTAAGCTGTGCTGTGCGACATAACCCTAACCACACTTGTGGTTTTCCCTCAATTCAAAATGTTGTGTATTTCAGAAATGGACTAATATTACACAACCAGAAAAACAGCACTCATGATGAAGGACATTTTAAGTGCAGAGTTAATTATACATTAAAATGTCAGAAAAGCAAGACATCATACTCTGTGGAATCACCTGACATCCTGGTGTCGATGACAGGTAGGCCCATTCATTCACTCAATACACATTCACAGGAGGTGTAATTACCCTTTTTCACTCTGTATTTTATAAAATGCTTCTATTAATCAGGCAGTGCTGGCCTTCATTCCATGGCGTCTCATGAGGTTGCAAAGGAGCAAGTAATAGGTTTATTCCATGCTAAAAGAGGAGAAAGGAAATGCAACGTTTCAGCTGTGGAGCCTTCTTCTGCTGTAGAGCCTTCCTCGGGGGTCTCTTGAGGTTGTCATTTGTGGTTCAATGGTCCTGTTTTGTCTCAACTATGAGGTTTCAGTCTGTCCTTGTTTGTTGTGCCTCCATTCTCTGTCAGATTACAGAGCTGGGCCCTCCCTTGGCTCAAACAGGGGTTGCTTGTCAGTCACAGGGAGCTGGGGGTGGAGTTTAGGGTATTTAAACCCAACCCTGGTGGCGGGGAGAGGAGTCTTGTTTGTGTTGGGTTTGTTTTATTGTGCTCTGGACATTTTTTTGCTACAGATTTTTTCCTGCCATCATGGGTTCTTTTTTTTCTGTGACCATGTGGCCATCTCACAATTACCTGCAAGGTGGTTGATTGCAAAGTCCTCCAAAAGTATTGGAAAAGCAAAGATAAAAGTGTTATTTTTTAGTTTACAGATACAGTAAATACAAGATAATATACAGCTTATTTTGGGGTAATCCCATGTCTGCATTTATAGAGACTCATTCCTGCCACCAAGGAATAAAAAATTGTGAGTTATCTCATAATAAGGATAAAGCAATGATTATTTCACTGTATGAGCAACCTGTTACACTGTGCAATGACAGTACCTACAGTACAAGCTATCAACAGGTTTATTGAAAGCGTGGGTTTAGTGTTCCTGACAATGTGCAAAGCTGCAAAATACACACGGACGTACTTTCCCCTGGGGTTTATTCATAATGAAATGATACAGTATGTACCTCACATGAAAATAGTTTTAACCATGAGAACACTCACACATACCCTAAAACAAGAACAAGTGTACCCTGAAATGGATTCTACTATTTAAAACTGAACATCAGATAATCATAAAGTAGGTATTGTATGTCTATTTCCATGACATCTTAGGCCATATGCATCTCCCAGATGGAAGCAGTTTAAATTCACTATTGAGGGCCTGAGCCACACTCCATAATGCTCCTGACCTTCTTTAGAACGCTCTGTATGGGAGTGGTGCAACTGTGGTTAAGGATCTGTGGCTGTAGCTGGAAGGTTGCTGGTTCAAATCATGCACTCAGCAGCAAAATCCCACTCTGTTGGGCCCCTGAGCAAGGCCCTCCACCCCAACTGCACCAGGGGTGCTCTATAAATGACTGACCCTGCACTCCAACCCCAAGCTACTCTCCCTGTCTGTGTGTCTCATGGAGAGCAAGCTGGGGTATGTGAAACACAAATTCCTAATGCAAGGAATTGTATATGGCCAATAAAGTGATCTTATCTTATCTCTGTTTGTAGAGGGCAGTGAAGTTTATTTGACATCCCTCAATTAAATTCCTGCTTATTCTCATTAATTTTTGCAACTTATTACAATTAATGGTACTGACGTTGCCAAGCCAACTAATGTGATAGTATCTTAAAACACTTTCAGTAATTATTTTTAATATAAATGGAATAAATAATTCTATCTACTTTGAAAGCCCATTCCTGCTGTGAGCATAGAAACCTCTGGGGAATGAGCTGGTGCTCCAGGTCACCTGCCCATGTGTTGGAAGATGTTACTGTTCAGACACCAGAAAGCAGAGACTTACTGGGTCAGTCGGCTCGAGTGACATCGGATGTCTGGAGGACAGAACGCAGTACCTCACATGCTTCATTCACCTGAGGGAGAAGGACTAAGGAATCTGTCAGTTTGAGAACTTTGGAAGTGTTTTGTGTAGTCTCAGAGCAAGATTTGAGTCAGACTTTAGTTTTAAGAAGAGTCTCAAGGAGAGTCTGATGGTGTGATTGTTTGTTTTGTAGCTAGTAAGCAGCTTAGCTGCCCAGTATGGTTAATAAGGACTAAAAACATTAAGAAATCTAGTCAAGAGCTCAGAAAGGAGATTAGACTTTTGGTTTTGGGTGTGGTGGTGTATTGCATTTTCCCTGCACTGTTGTCACAGCTGTCTCTGTGTGTCTGTTCCCCTTGACCCACCTATTTTAAAGATCTTGTTACTGTACTCCCAACAGGCTGTCACACTACCTTAAAGTAAAGTTTTCAAAGAAAAGGTTTGGCTTTTTTAATAAATGTTTACATATTTGTGTTTTTTTGTCTAATACCAGTCCCAGGTACATTTCATTGACAGCTTCTACACTCTGACCATTAATTACAATAGTTTGGAGTAGTAGTTTCAAAACATTTACACATGAAACCAGCAGCCATATCACCTTGCAACTCACAACTGGCAACCCACTGAAGCTAAGCAGGTGTGAGCCTGGTCAGTACCTGGATGGGAGACCTCCTGGGAAAAAATAAGGTTGCTGCTGGTAGAGGTGTTAGTGAGGCCAGCAGGGGGTGCTCACCCTGTGGTCCATGTGGGTCCTAATGCCCCAGTATAGTGATGGGGACACTATACTGTAAAGAAGCCCCGTCTTTTGGATGATCTCGTAAAACCGAGGTCCTAACTCTCTGTGGTCATTAAAAATCCCAGGGCATTTATCGAAAAGAGTAGGTTTGTAATCCCGGTGTCCTGGCCAAATTTCTCATGCTTCCTAATAATCCCCCTCTATTAATTGGTTACATTACTTTGTTCTCCTCCCCCCTGGAGCGACGTTGGAGTATTCTCGGTTGCATTTAATGGCAATATCAGCTTCAAACCACCAAATGGAGATGGGCGTGCCGACAAGCGGACCCTGCTGATGCGGGATTAACGCTAGGATGAGAGAGACTCTGCTCTCCTCCCCACTGATAGCTGATGTGTGGTGAGTGTTCTGGTGCAGTATGGCTGCTGTCACATCATCCAGGTGGATGCTGCACATTGGTGGTGGTGGAGGGGATCCCCATTACCTGTAAAGCACTTTGAGTGGAGTGTCCAGAAAAGTGCTATATAAGTGTAAGCATTTATTAATTATTATTATTTATCATTTGATAGAACTCATCACACCATTTATGAAAATCACTTATAGTGGGCCCACAATGATTTTCTAGGCCTTTTAATAAACCAATCAGCATCAGCCATAGTGCGCCAGAACGCTCACCACATACCAGCTATTAGTGGGAAGGAGAACAGAGTGATAAAGCGAATTTATAGATGGGGATTATTAGGAGGCCGTTATTGGTAAGGGCTAAAGGGAAATTTGGCCAGGACACCCCTACTCTTTTAGAGAAATGCTGTGGGAATTTTAATGACCACAGAGAGTCAGGGCCTCTGTTTTTTTATGCGTCATCTACATTTACAGCATCTTTTTACAGTCACTATACTGGGGCATTAGGACCCCCACAAACCCCCCTGCTGGCTCCACTAACGCCCCTTCCAGATGCAACTTTAGTTTTTCCCAGGAGGTCTCCCATGCAAGTACTGACCAGGCTCACACCTGCTTAGCTTCAGTGGGTTGCCAGTTGTGAGTTGCAGGGTGATATGGCTGCTGGCCAAGAATTGTGATTTACAAGATGTAAAATGGGGGGGGGTTCTATGAGTTCTATGAGAGTTGGTGTGCTAGAAAGAGATTAAAATAAGATTCTTACTAATGTCTTGGTTGGTCAAAATGCTGATAGACAGGTTTAACCATTTGAATATTTCAGTATCTGCTCCTCTTCTTTTTTGTGTGTAAACTGCAGGTGGGCAGTTTGGTTCTGTGTGTTCTTTGTAATGTGTTTCTGCACTGTTCTCTCCAGACTTATGGCATCAGAATAAGATTTCTTCCACAGAGAGGGGTGTAAGTTTAAGGACATCTAAAAAAGTGGACTAAAAATGTCACTTGACTGATATGCATATTGTACAATATGGTCGCATAACCCTTTGCACAATAATTGCATCACATCTGTGATCTATTGAACTCTCACTTTTTATGTAAAACTTTGAGATGCTTTGCTTATAAAAGGCATGCTAAATTGAATGTAAATCGAGAAATTATTTTGGCTAGTCTAAGATTTCCAGATTTATCTTCCAATTAAATTGTTTGCATTGGCTGTCTGTTTTGCATCATCATTATGCTATATGCTGTATACAGCGCTGCATATACCACACAATAAGTACAGAACCTTTGTCTTCTACATAAGCAGACAAAATGCTTCATTAAATGTCTTCTGTTACCATCATTAGCTACAGTACATCCCCAATAAAGAGTAAGCCAGTTCCTGTCACATGATTGTAGTAGTTTTTCCTGTATGAACAAATAGTCAAACAAGTAAAGTATGCTGTAATGATATTACAGACTAATTTACATGTTAAATAAGGGGAGTGCACAAGTTGAGAAAAGGGAGTTCAGTTGTGATCTAAGGTTGGTGGATCTTGTGCGGGGTCAGTTGTACAAAGAATAATCCAAGTGCTCACCTAACCAGTTCTTCCATTGTCTTTCTACAGAACAAATCCCCAGTCTGAATCTAACAGTACCTTCAACACCCAGAGTGACCAAAAATCAGAGTAAGTTTGGGATTTTCTTGTAGTACAGTATATCATATTAATAGCCAAAAGGATTATAAGCCACCCCTATCTTGTTAACTCAAACTCAGAAATTCAGTGATTTGTAAAGCTGCTGGAATCCAGCTCTTGAATAATGGAGTTGCTCATTCTTAGCAAAAATCTGTCCATCATGTATGTGTGGCAGAAGCTGGATAGGCAATGATTGTCTTCCTCTTTCCTTACACAGGTGAATCAGCATTTGTCCTCAGTCTGGGCCTGGGTCTGGGTATAGGTTTGGGTTTTACTTTCCAGGTCATCTTCATAATACTTTTACTGAGACACTTCAGAAACAGAGGTAAAATTCTCGTATGGAAATTATTTTCACATCTTTTTCATATCCTAGTCAACATACTGTATGACTGTTGATGCATGTAAATAAATTACTGAACTCTATACATCAATTTTATTCCATATAAAGAATTTTCCATGTATGCCATATAAAGAACAATACATACATTATCAGAAAACTGCTTATTCCTGGGGTGGGGCTGTGAATTATGACAAAATGTCTGTGAAATATGAGGTCATCTACTCTATTATTTAATGCTTTCATTTTGCTTTTACATTTGACACCATTGACTTCATTTCAGATTCTACCTCCATCTAGTATGGTCAAAGGCCATTTTCTCCAGGAGGTGATATTTATAATGCATTTCTTCATATTTTCTTTTACTATATCATTGAAATACTTCTTCTGTCCTCATCTCGTTTGATACTCTTGGTTTTTGGGAGAAGAGAACTGTCTTTGGGGGTATGAAGGCTAAAATTCACACAACATGAGCAACACAGTGGTGCTGATGGAGCAGATGATTATAGCTTCATAGGGGCTGAGAGACTCTAACTGAGTCTCCTGCTCTCTGGCCTGACCAACTGCACACACCCATTCAATTTAAAATGTACTTGTTGTTACAAAACAGCAAAGAAGACTAGTCCAACAGTTCACCATGGATTGCGTTCCGTACTTCCCTTCCAGGGAAGACTGCAGACTCTAACCTACTGTCTTCCCACACACTATTCACTTTTGCAAGCAAACGAGCAACACTGAGCATGTGTGTCTGAAATCCCTTTGCCATCCAGATCTCACCTTTTCCATGGATATACAGTAGTATACAGTGAGTCAAGTGCATTTCTACTGTCAAGGATTTCTGAAAGGGGTGAGCAGTGGGACCCCTGTGCGAAG